ACAGCAGACTGTATTGAGTTCTACTACAAAAATCACAAATCTGATTGCTTTGAGAAAACTAAGAAGCTGGAGTTCGGGAAGAAGGCTAAGTCCTCGACTAGTAACTATTTGATGACAACAGGGAAGAAATGGAATCCAGAAACAAATGCTGCTTCTCTCGACATTTTGGGCACTGCTTCAGCAATGACAGCTTGTGCTCATAAGTATTCTAGCAGCAGGTCGGGTGGAAGAACTGCATGTTACACGACTCAATTCGATGATAATCTATCAGAAAGGGCCAAAAGTTTTCATAGTTTTGGGAATGAAAGAGAAAAGGTTGCTGCTGATGTTTTAGCAGGTATCTGTGGTTCCCTGTCTTCAGAAGCCATGGGTTCATCATGTATCACTGGTAATTTCCACCGAAGAGATGGTTCTCAGGATTTGAAGTGCAAAAAGGGTGCTACAACCATATTAAGACGGCGTATGACAGCCAACCTTCTGCAGTCTGTTGACGATGAGGTTTGTTCGGACGAAAGTTGTGGAGAAATGGATCCTTCTTATTGGACAGATGGGGAGAAGTCTCTTTTCATAGAAGCAGTGACAGTTTATGGGAAGAATTTCTCAATGATCTCTACCCATGTAGGATCGAAATCCATGGACCAGTGCAAGGTCTTCTTCAGTAAAGCACGGAAGTGCCTTGGTTTGGATTTGATATGCTCTGCAAAGAAAATGCCAGCAAATGGAAGAGACTGCAATGCTAATGGATTTCCTTGCGAAGCAGGTGTGGACAGAAATGCCTTTCCTTGCGACGAAGGGGTTGGAAATGGTGGGGAATTGGAGTCCATGAATCCACAATCTACACATCAGGAAGTTAAAGAGATTAATAATCATAGTAATACAGCTGTAGATGCCATGGTGTCTGATGCCTGTCATAGGAAGGATAGCTCTCATTCAGCATTGGACGAGGACTGCCAGTCTGTGAATTCTGCCAATGATAAGAATCGCTCGCTACACAATCATGCAGTCGTGTCTGATGAAACTGCAAAGGAACAAGGAAATTCTTCTCGGGTCACAGTATCAGTTGGAAATGGTTTGGATGCTGAAACAAAGAGGGGGAATATAGGTCAAGGTGCGAAAGCCCCAGCTCACACAGCTGATAGCTCTTCAGCGCCCTTAAATTCTCATGTCACCTCAGTTCCTAAAGATGAACAAGGGCGTCTACATGTCAGAGTGCGTTCACGCAGTTTGTCTGATTCTGAACAATTGTCTATAAATGGTGACGTGAAACTATTTGGTCAGATTCTTACCCATTCCTCATCTGTGCCAAGTTCAAGTTCAAATGGGAACCGAACGCAGCGCAAGTTCAAGCGCAGATTGAAAGCAAGTAGCCATGGAAATCTGAGTACTGCCAAGTTCAGTCGTAAAAGCTCTTCAGGTCAAGAGGATGTTCCCTCAAGAAGTTACGGAATTTGGGATGGAACCCAAATGCGCAACGGGCTTTCATCACTGCCCGATCCCACCACCCTACTGTCCAGATATCCTACATTTGATAATTCCTCTAAATCTACCTCCCCTATAGAGCAGCAGCAGCCCCTTCTCAATGAACAGAAATCAAATTGTGATTCCCAGATGTCGGAGGTAAATAGTAGTAAGGTGGCTCAGGAGGTAGTTGGAGGGATTATTGTAGGAGAGATTTGTAATGATGATGATGATGCACTAGATACTAAATTGCATCGCAACAAGGCTGAGGATGGTGGCTCCTAGGAAGAGAGAATTAGCTGGTAGCAGATTTATGTTTAGAGAGAGCCTCTCAACAGAGGCACTCTCTTAGCAGCAATTGGTTTCTTTTGCTGCACCCCATGTATCATAGTTTCGTTGATGTCAATGAATGATAGCAGAATTTGACGGTTCTTATTGCCGTCTTTGTAGGAGGAAAAAGAAAAGAGTAATGCTTCAAAATTACTTTTCTTCAGTTTAACATAAATTTCAATTCCAGTCAACACTTACGGAGCTGTTGGGAATCGCCATTTGATTTCTGTTCATTTGGAATTTGATATTCCTAAATGTTTCAGGCAGAAGAGGTTAATAGTGCCATGCCTAAATAGCACATCTGGTTGGCAGATCTGATGGGGACCTATAAGAGGATGTATAGGTCTTATCTTTTAAATTATTTCTAGAACCAATCTTTTATAATATCTTTCATTAAAAAAAAAAAAACGTAAACGAAAAGATATGCTTTGTGATATTAAAGTATAAGGATAAGAGATTAGGACTAATCTTTTTGACATCCATGCTATGCTTTTTTCATCCACTCCATTTCTGGCATCTTCAGACCCCTTCCGGAGTGGCTCAACGATTTTGACAACCTTTCAACATGAACAAGAGACAAGTCCCTTTTTAGTCATACATGAAAGAAACAAGTATAAAACAAATACAAGAAAGAAAGCACTAGGAAGCCACTTCACATAAAATGCTTGCTTCATGTGCCAACTCAACAAATTGAGACGTTTATTTAAAGGGGGAAGCCATATAAAATATCATGAATGCTTCCATAGGAATAGGTTAACACGAGATGATTGGACAAGACCAATGCGCGCCAACCATGAAAATATTGTCTTCCCATACGCATACAAATAGTTATCTAATGAAATTGCATCATATGTGAAGGCATATATAACCCAGTAGAGTCTAGCCTACTATAATATTACTTGACTGCCAACGTGGGCGTTGTTCAAAAAATATAAATGCATCATACCATTGAATTTTTGCATCTCTATTATTCTCAATGGACACAAGCATCTGGACAAGAAAACGGAAGTATGACACTATGTTATATACTAAATTCAAAGCTTACCTCATTGGTTCTTGGGTGATAAAGGACCAATTGATGTGCGTGCAAGTAGTAGCTATAATCTCCAGGCACAGGTTTCTTAGCCTTTTGGTAACTTCTGGACAGAATGTGCATGGTTTCTTTGCAAGAAGAAAGAGGAATCAAATTCAAGATGGGGACAGCAACATAGAGAGGATCACCTAACAGGAAAAGACAGTTTTTTTTTTTTTTTTTTTTA